AGCATCATACCAGAACTCCATAAGCAATCTAAATTGCTTCATTTTATCTTTTAAAAATTTTTCTTTAAGAATAATTCTATCTTTTCTATTCAGTAGATTTTCTTATTAGCAAATAAAACACTCATCATCAGTTGGTAATTAAGTAAGAAGCTATTAAGTCTGTTCTCAGTTCAATGAAATTCACTTAATGAGCAATTGACAAATGTCCAAAGTTGTACCGGCTACTTGCAATATACATATTTATATATATATGAAGTATTTAATTTCTTCCATTCATGGAGCTTACATTCTATTTAATTCCTCATAATCTTGCATAGTATTTTTTTAGTCCCTTTACCAAATTTTGTTTAAGTGGTTTTATGAGCCAGGTACTCTTGTACCTGGTACTCATTGCTGAGCAATGAATAAAACAGACATATGAACTTGTGTAGTTTATATTGTCACATGTACAATTGATCAGACATGCAATCAAGATGTATTGATACTTACTGATGACTGGAATGCAAAGGTTGGAAACAAAAAGGAAGGATCAGTTGTTGAAAAAGATGACCTTGGTGATAGAAACGATGTTGGAGATTGCATGATAGTATTTTGCAAGACCTATGACTTGTTCATTACAAATACCTTTTTAAAACAACATTAAAAAATGACTATTCACATGGAGTACACAGAAATAAAATTGACTATATCTGTGGAAAATACAGTAGGAAAATTTCATATCACCAGCCAAAACAAGACCAGAGGCAGACTATGGAACAGTTCATCAATTGCTCATATGCAAGTTCAGGCTGAAGCAGAGAAAATTAAAATAAGTCCAAAAGAATGAAAATATGACCTCAAACATATCCCACCTGAATCTACAGATCACCTCAAGAACAGATTTGATGCATTAAATACTAATGACTGAAGACAAGAAAAGATGTGGGATGACATCATGATCATACAGGAAGAAAGTAAAAGATAATTAAGAAGACAAGAAAGAAACAAAAGTTCAAAATGGATTTCAGAAGAGATTGACACTTGCTCTCCAGAGAAGAGATGCTAAAGCAGAAAGGAGAAGGTAAAAGAGCTGAACTCAAAATTTCAAAGGGCAGCTCGAGAAGACAAATTCAAATATTATAATGAAATGTGCAAAAACCTGGAATTAGAGTATCAAAAGGAAAGAACACACTCAACATTCCTCAAGCTGAAAGAACTGAGGAAAAAATTCACACCTCAACTTACAATATTGAAGTGTTTTATGGAAAAAAATATTGAATGATGCAGAAAGCATGAAGAAAAGACAGAAGAAATGCACAGTCGCTGTGCCAAAAAGAAATGGTTGATGTTTAATCATTTCAAGAGGCAGCATATGATCAAGAGCTAATGTTACTGAAGGAAGAAATCCAAGGTACACTGAAGGCATTGGTGAAAAACAAAGCTCCAGAATTGATGGATTATAAATTGAATGTTTCAACAAACTGATTCAGTACTCACTCACCCATGTGAAGAAATTTGGCAGACATCAAACTGATAAATAGATTGGAAAAAATTCATAATCGTGTCCATCCCAAAGAAAGGTGACCAAAAAGAATGCATAAATCATCAGATAATATCATTAATATCGCATGCAAGTAATATTTTGCTAAAGATAATTCAAAAGTGGTTACAGCAGTATATTAACAAGGAGTTGCCAGGGGCTCAGGTGAGAGTCAGACAGGGACCTGGAACAATGGAAATCATTGCTGACATCAGATGGATCTTGGCTGAAAGCAGAGAATTCCAGAAAGATGTTTACCTGCACTTTATTGACTATGCAAAGACTTTCAAGTGTTTAGATCATGATAAGATATGGACAACATTGCAGAGAATAAGTATTCCAGAACACTTAATTGTGCTCATGAAGAGCCTGTACATGCAACAATGGGCAGTCATTTGAAGAGAACATGGGGGCACTGAATGGTTTCATATGAGGAAAAATGAATGCCAGGGTTGTATCTTTTCACCACACTTATTCAATTTCTATACTGAGCACATAATCCAAGAGGCTGGATTATATAAAGAAGAACATGGCATCAAGATTGGTGGAAGATCATTAACAACCAGTGATATTCATATGAACAACCTTGCTTGCTAAAAGCAAAGAGGACTTACAAAATGTAATGATGAAGATCAAAGGCTACAGCCTTCAGTATGTGTTTCACCTCAATAAAGGAAACAAAAATCTTCACCATTGGTCCAACAAAAACAAGATAAATGAAAAAAAGATTGACATTGTCAAGTACTTTTTTGTGTGTGTGGTTTTTTTTGTTTTTTGTTTTTTTGTTTTTTTTGCTCATATCAACCATCAACAATCATGGAAGCAGTAGTCAATAAATCAAATGACATTGCATTAGGCAAATCTGCAGCACATGACCTCTTTAAAGTGTTCTAGAGCAAAGGTATTAGTTTAAAGACTAAGGTGCACCTAACTCAAACCATGATATGTTTAATAGCCTCATATGAATGTGAAAGGTGACAATGCATAAGGAAAACTGTAGAATAATTGATGCGTTTGAGTTATGGTGTTGGACAAGAATATTAAAAAGTACCATGGACTGATGAAAGAAGTAAAAAGTGTATGTTAGAAGTACAGCCAGAATGCTCCTTCGAAGCCTGGAAGGCCAGTTTGTGTCTCTCATACTTTGGACATATTATCAGGAAGGATGGGTCCCTGGAGAAAGACATAATGCTCAGTAAAGTGGAGAATCAGTGGAAAAGAGGAAGACCTCCAATGAGTTGGATTGGCACAGAAGCAGCAGCAATTGGCTCAACTGTAGCAACCACTGTGAGATAGGTACAGGACCAGGCAGTGCTTTGTTCTGTTGTGCACAGTGTCTCTATGAGTTGGAACCAACTTGACCCCACCTAACAATAAAAACAGCAACAACACAAAAGGAGATAAAAAATATTTGCTTAATGAAAGATAGTTGTTATTCAACAGCTATTTGCTGAATACAGAGGAACCGTTTGGAGAAACACAACGCAGAGTCTCTGTTTTCAAGGAAAATAACCTTCCATATACCTAGAGATTACATTTTAAAAAATGTTAGCTAAGGCTTTCAATACAATCTTTCACATTAAAGCATCCTAAAGTTTGTACACTTGAATTTTGAATTGTGGTGTTGGTGAAGAATTTTGAAATTACCACAGATTGCCAAAAGAATGAACAAATCTGACTTGGAAGAAGTACAACCAGAAAGCTCCCTAGAATCAAGAATGGCATTAATATATCTTGCTTACTTTGGCCATGTTATCAGGAGAGACCAATCCCTGGAGATTGCTTGATAAATAGAGGCTCATCAAGAAATAGAAAGACCTTCAGTGATGTGGTTTGACACAGTGACTGTAACAATGCTAAACCAAAGCAATAAATGTGAGGATGGTGCAGGACATCGCAACGTTTTTTTCTATTACACTGAAGGTCGCTATGAGTTATAATCAACAGGATAATACCTAACAATAACAACAACACAACTTAGCACAAGAGTTTTATAGGGATTCAGATAAAAGATTGGATTGGATTTACAGAATTATGGAAGACTTTAGGGAAGTGGGACATATTTAGCAAAGTAAAGACCAGTACCATTTTGATAGGTGACAGAGAAGTTGTTTAATAAAGTTCATCAGCCAGTAACAGAGAAGTGCTGAGTTAAGGATAATCTTTATGGAAGTAGAACTATTGAGTATGTGACTTAGCCAATCTGAAGAGACTAAAAGATTCACGTGGAGAGATAATGGG